TCTTGAATAGTCCCCGGTTGGGACTGTTCTTGAACGTTTACTCTCACTTTGGTGGTGAATGTATGTCAGTTTTTTCGATTTTAAGGAACATCTTGGCTTAGCATTTCCTCGATCACCATGTTCTCTGGGTACATATGTGGGTAAGTAATTACCTACGTCGTGTACTTGGAGAACTGGGGGGAAATGCTGCCGGATTTTCCTTAAAATTGGAAATCTGATATACATTCACAAGTGAGAGTAAACGTTCAAGGATGGGTTAGGTTGGAGTGATAAGGACCCTTTGGAAGCATATATGCATTTTTGTATCTATATGAATGTTATATGCATGTTGGGTGTTTGAATTTGATTTATATATATAATAGATGTAGCAATTATACATTATTCGTAATATGTTGCCATGTTTAGAGACAATTTACTTAATGGAGAAGGATCGTGGCTGGATGTATGGTAGACGTGATACTTTGGAATTCTTTGATGGGGTTCAAGAGTTTTGTGAGAGGGCTTCATCTTATCAGCGCAGAATGGGTTTCGATTGCCTCTATTGTCCTTGTGTTGATTGTAATAATGTGAAGGTGGTTAATAGTGTTGATATCATTAGAGATCATGTAGTTTGTCGTGGGTTTAGGCTTAAATACCATGTGTAGATTTGGCACGGTGAAGAAGGAGAGTACAATGGGGATGTTATTGGGAATGATGTGCATGACGATAGAAGCAATGATATTCGTGTGGACGAGGAATACAAGAATGATGAATTTATTGCTGATAATGGTGATGAGGATGGATTTGATGATGATCAGGTGGATGAGGTGGAGGATGAAGGGGTGAATGAAATGATGCGTGGTGTTGAAGGTGACGTGTTTGAGTCGTTATCGGAGGCTTCTAAAAAGCCTTTGTATCCTGGGTGAAAAAAATACTCCAAACTATCAGCTGTGCTAACACTGTTTAACATTAAGTCGAAGCATGGGTGGACAGACAACAGTTTTACGTCCTTGTTGAACGTGTTAAGTGAGATGTTGCCTGACGGGAATTAAATTCCTAAGTCATACTATTATGCAAAGAAGCTCATGTGTCCATTTGGTTTGGAGTATAAGAAGATACATGCATGTCCTAATGATTGTATTCTTTATCGAAATGAATATGAACAATTGGAGGAGTGCCCACGATGCAAGAAGTCGCGCTACAAGCGCATGAGTTGCAATGCTGGTACGAAGGGACCTCCTGCGAAGGTGTTGTGGTATCTTCCCATCATTCCAAGGTTTAAGCGTCTTTTCTCAACACCAAAAGATGCAAAAAACTTGAGGTGGCATGCAGAGGGAAGAAAAAAAAAAACAGAATGCTGAAGCATCCAGCCGACTCCCCGCAATGGAAGAACATTGATATGAAGTTTGGTGAATTTGGTGATGAAGTCAGAAATTTAAGGCTTGGGTTGTGCACGGACGGGATGAATCCATTTGGCACTCTTAGTACCCAGCACAACACATGGCCGGTACTTTTAGTGATCTACCATTTGCCTCCTTGGTTGTGCATGAAACGTAAGTATGTAATTCTTTCACTACTAATAACTGGGCCAAGGCAACCTGGAAACGACATAGATGTTTATCTTGCGCCACTTGTTGACGATTTGAGAAAGATGTGGGACGAAGGGGTTTCCGTGTTTGATGCTCATAAGAATGAGATGTTCACCTTGCGTGCAGCTCTTATGTGGACCGTTAATGATTTTCCTGCATATGGCAACTTGTCTGGGTACAAAAACAAAGGAAAAACAGCATGCCCCATTTGTATTGATGACACTCCAAGCATACACCTTGACAATTGTCACAAAGAGGTGTATCTGCGGACTCGAAGGTTGCTAAGGCGCGATCACCCGTACCGTAGGCAGAAAAAGGCTTTCGATGGGAAAGCGGAAGAGGGGACTGCGCCTAGGCCATTGACTGGTGAGGAGGTTTATGATCGAGTTAAGGGTATACGAACAGTGTTTGGGAAAACAAAAAAAGCTGCGGACTTAACTGCTCTCTTTAAAAAAGAATCAATCTTTTGGAAGCTTCCGTACTGGAAAGAACATGATGTTAGGCACTGTCTTGATGTAATGCATATAGAGAAGAATGTGTGTGATGCTCTTATGGGAACGCTGATGAATATTCAAAGCAAAACAAAGGATGGAAAGGGTGCACGGTTAGATTTGGAAAAGATGGGAGTTCGTCCAGAATTGTGGGCTCAGGAAAAGGTTAGAAGGAAAGGAACAGGAAAAGAGAGATGAAACGAGTTCGAAACAAGGAAAGGGGAAGAGCAAGGGAAAAGGAAAGTCCACAGATGCGTTGAAGAAGAATTATGATGGAAAAGCAAAGGATGCCAAGGCTTACTTATCTCCGGCTTGCTACACATTGTCAAGGGTAGAAAAACGGATGTTTTGTGCATGTCTGTACGGCATTAAGGTTCCATCAGGGTATGGATCTAACATGAAAAGATTTGTATCCTTAAATGGAGAATTAAAGCTGACAAGTATGAAATCCCATGATTGTCATGTTCTTATGCAAGTATTCTTACCAATTGCAATACGTGGTATTTTACCGAAGCACGTGAGGGAAGCTATTACAAGCCTCTGTTCTTTTTTTTCAATACAATATGCAGCAAAGTGCTTGATCCTTGTGCACTTGATGCTTTGCAGGCGGATGTGGTTGTGACTTTGTGCAAATTTGAGATGTACTTCCCACCCTCATTCTTTGACATAATGGTGCATCTTATTCTTCATTTGGTGCGTGAAATTAAGTTGTGCGGTCCAGTGTTCATGAGGTGGTGCTATCCTTTTGAAAGACACATGGGTACATTGCAAAACAAGGTAAGGAATCGGGCTCACCCGGAAGGAAGTATGATTCAAGGGATCGTGGGTGAGGAGATTGGTAATTTTGTGGCCGACTATATAGCTGTTGCTGAACCAATTGGTCTTCCTACTTCTCGACATGAAGGGAGACTTGATGGTCACGACACAATCGGGTCGAAACGAATGTCACCTAATCGAGATAAGTTTTTTCAAGCACACCTATATGTGTTGCACCATGTTGCAGATGTTCACCCATACTTAGATGAGCACATGGCTAGTTTGCGTGATGAATTTCCATCGAAAGGTGAAAGGGCATTGATGCAGATGCATAATAAGAGGTTTGTGAGTTGGTTTCGTAATCGAGTGATGGGTAGAATGGATGAGAATGTCACTGATACAGTAAGGTGGCTTGCTTATGGTCCTAGGGATGATGTTCGCTCATTTGAGGGATATGATATAAATGGGTACACTTTTTGGACTGAGCGTCAGGATTTGAAATCTTCCTCGACCCAAAACAGTGGTGTAACGCTTGTGGCATCGTCAAGGGAGTTTGCAAGTGCTAAGGATAAATCACCCGTTGATGCAGAGTTATCATACTATGGTCGAATTCAAGAAATTTGGGAGCTTGATTATTGTAGCTTCACGATTGCTCTTTTCCGGTGTAAATGGGTTGATAATATCAAGTGTAACGTCAAATATGATGACTTCACTCTTGTAGATCTTAGCCACCTAAATGACAGTGCGGAACCATTCATCCTTGCATCTCAAGCTAAGCAAGTGTTTTATGTAATTGACCCAGCAGATATGAAATGGTCTATTGTGCTAGCCGGCAAAAGAAGAATCCTAGGCATTGGAGATGTCGAGGATGAGGAAGAATATGATGCGTTTGATGACTCAGCACCTTTCACTGTTCCTAGACCTGTTGTACCAAATGATGTAGACGAACAAACCAATTATGTGCGATTAGACCACAACGAAGGAATATTAGAATGAGGTACTATTTTTCAGCAATTTAGGAATTTTAGGTGTTGAAAGTATTATAAAATGACAGGTTAGCCGAAAATGAATTAATTAATTGTCATAAGTATTATAATTAGGCAATTTATATTTGATTTTATAACTGTACCTTACAAATGTATTTATAATACAACTACTAACGTGTTATGATTCTTATGGCAGGTGATTACATCTCATGGCGGACTATCAGGACCGTGTTTGTGTCGAGGATTTAGAGGATGATGATGATGACTTATCTGAGGATGGTTATGAGTTGTATGATGTGAACAAGGAGCCTGATTTGGGTGAGGTAGAAGATCAGGCTCAGGATGAGTTGGAGCGTAGACTGGATGCATTTGAAATGGAGGCTGAACAAGCGCCTCCTATTGAAAATGCAGTTTCTGAGACGGTTGGTGAGAACGCTACTTCCCACAATCAAAGCCAAGGACAAAGTGGAGGAGGGGTGAGGGCACCGGCTAAGAAAAAGGTGAGGGGTCCGACGACAAGTTTCAAGAAACCCGTCGGTCCCATGGTCCTGGAGTACGACAAGGCGGGCCAACCTGTAGGCAAATTCCGTCGTCCATATGCTATTCACGTTGGCATTTGTGCGCGTAAAATCCCGATTACACTTCGTATGCGGGAAGTACCTCCAGGCTTGATTGACACATTTTGGAATGATACAAGGGCAAGTGTTTTATTTGCATATTTATACAATTATAAATACCTTTACTTTAATGTTATGTAAAAGGGGAAACTAATAATCGACTTTATTTGTGTTTGCAGAGTCTGTTTAATATTTCTAATGATGCCGCCAAAGGGGTGTTTGAATCTTTGTTAGCGGAAAGATTCAGAGGCTTCAAGAGCGAATTAGTTCGTGGTTGGGTCACAAAGACTGTTGTGAAAAAACCAAAGAAGAAGAAAGGCAATGATGATGAAGTCATCAGTGAAGAGCTACCCCATGGCAAAAATGGCCAAACATATCGAAGGATGATTGGGAAGCTTTTGTTATTCAACAAAGTACAAAGGAAGCAATTGTAAGTTTAAGTAAATTTGATTACAATTGTATAATATATTATCTCTTTTTGAAGTAATAATACTAACAATTCTAATTACGTAGGAACTGAGAGAGCAAAATTCCAAAAATGCAAAGATGAAGTAATACACCCAACGTATGGGGTGTAAGACATTTGGTGAATGGAGGGAAACGTGGGTCAACGAAGGAGTATACCCCACTTCGCTACCAGGGTCGTTCGAAGGACCCTCTTATTCCACGATCACTACGCTAGTGAGTCGTGCCGGTGATTTCTTCTGTTCACTGCATGCGCGTGACAAGGAGATCGGAAAATGGGCCATCAAGGCTCCGAAAACCAAAGAAATGGCTGATAAGCTCGTAAGCAACTACGAACTTGAGAACTCTATAAATATTTTGCATAAATATCACTAATAGATGCTATTGGTTTCTGTTTTTTTTTTTATTTTTTTTTATTTTTTTTTTTGCTACAGATTGAACACACTGAAGAACTGGTTGAAGGCAAGCTCGTCCCAATTGTAGAAAAAGACCCTTTCACCTCTGCTTTGGGAAATCCCTACCATCCAGGACGGGTAGTAGGTGCAGGAGGATCATTGCTAGGGTGGGAAAAGGTGATGGGTCCAGAGTATACCAAATCATGAAGATCTCGAGCAAGTGTGAACTCACCTCATGACTTGGTTTCCACGGTGGCATCGATTAAGGAACAAGTCCGCAACGAGCTCGTAAGTGAATTTAACGCTTGGGCGAAGCAAATGAACCTACCGAGCTTGCCTTTCCCCTCGAATACACCCGTCGACTCATGTAGTCACCCAAAAGGACAAGGGGAAGATGATATACATGGAGACGATGATGCAAATGAGGTAGTTTTAAAACTTTTAGTTTTAGCATATTGAGTTATGTAGGATCTAAGGTGGCAGTCATTAATTTCTTGTTGCAGGGTGGTACGCCTACACATGCGGACTCGAGGGAGCTCGATAATCCAGCACCTCATCATTTTCCAGATTTACAGGTGATTTTGTTTAGTTCTATCTTAGTGAATATGGGCACATTATCAATCTTAGTGAATATGGGCACATTATCAATTGTGTAGGAAACGACCCCTTGTGATATGTTTGGTTCTAATAACTGATCTTTCAAATTGGTGTAGGAAGAGACTCGTTGTGCACTTCTACACCCGGACGAATCTGGAGCTTTGCATGTGGTTGCATATGGTAGTGCACAACCGGCCGAACAAGGTACGGTCCATTTGCGACCGCTTAGGCCACATCATTACTTGGTTGGGATCAATTCTGTTATTACCGGGTTCGAGGACATCCTAATACCGGTGCCCATAGAGGAGGAGTAGTTACTACACTTTGGGCGGCAAAAGGTAGTTTTGTGTAGTGGCCGTGTGCTTGGGTAAGGTTGATGAACCAGGTAATTAAGATTTTGGGTTCGTTCGGTACTTTATGCCCGGTTGTTTTCACAAGAGTTAGATGGATTTGTCTTTTCTAACCAATTGCGTGATTTGTTGTATTAGATTTCGCCAAAAAGACAAACTTCAAAGAGGAGGGTGGAACAACCAATAAGAGTTGATCAACCGGTGCCAAAGAAGAGGAGTGAACAAAGGTCGGAGAGTGAAAAAGGGTCGAAGAAGAACTCTTCGAGAGGTTCAGCTTTGCAAGCTACTCCACTTGTTGCTGACACGGTCCTTCAAACGCTGTCTAAGGATTTAACATTTCTACACAACCGTGTTAGCATGTTGCCTAGTGACACTCCCATTCAAGTTCCACTACCTAAGGCAATGTTCCACTTTGATGAGGATGCAGTTGCATGGCTTAGCAAAGAAGATGTGAAAGAATTTCTAAGTGGTTCAATGCTTAACATCTCCCTCGTTCAAACATTCATGAGGTAATTTAATGCCAGACACTATTATGTTATTCAGATGCTCGGTGATTGCTTGTCATTTAATTTCCCATTAATATTTTGTTACCATGCATGCAGAGCACTACAGGAGCACTTACTTGAGATTGATTCTCCGTGTCAAGTAGGGTGGTTGTGCCCCGAGCAAATCTCCACTACTAGAATCTTAGGCAACTACCCTGACGTGTTGTACTATGTTGAACGGGGTATCAAGGAATCATTGCGTGCGGGTGACAAGTTCATATTCGCCCCATGTTTTGAGGAGTACGTTTGACCATGTCAAATTCATTTGTTTCCCCTAATTATATGTTGTACACGGCTAATTGTTGACTTGTTTGTGTATTGTCCATTTCTGTAGTGCACATTGGACCCTGCTGGTGATTTGTGTTCCCAGTAACACCATCTTCCTTTTTGATTCAGCTCGATTGCCTCATCCGAAAAAGCTCCTCGTGAAGTCTATACTGCGAAAGTAAATATAGCTATCTAGTGTTGATTATCCTTACTTAACTCATTTATTATATTAGTCATACTAATCAAGTTTGAACTTACTTTTCTATAGTGCTATGAAGAAGATAAATTGCCGAGCTCCTCAAGGTCCTACATGGAAATCACCGATGGTAATGCTACATGATTTTGTGATTTTTATAATAAATGCGTAAGATATTGCTAATTTGTTATGCATGTTTGATTCATTTACTGTGTTCCTATGCTAGTGCGCACAACAAGATAACGGAGTTGATTGCGGACTATACGTGATGAGATTCATGTTGGACATAATGAGTCATTGTACAGACTTACAACAGCTTGATAAGGTATGCCATTGACTTAGTTAATTTGATTTTGTGGTGTGTTTTGATAGGAGAAAACCCTTGAACTGCGTCTTAAAACCCTTGAATTGTTATTTTAATGTGATTTAAAGCCTTAGCCGCTTGTAACTAGGTAAGAATGACATGTTAAGAGGAAGAATGAGGTAATTTGATTAAAAATATAGAAAATAGGCATACAAGTAGTGATATAGGCCTTATTCGGGCCATTTTGAATGAAATTGCGTCTTAAAACACTTCAAATGCTCTTTTAATGTAATTTCAAGCTTTAGCTGCCTCAAACTAGGTAATAATGACATTTTTAAAGGAAGAATGAGCTAATTTGATTAAAAATGTAGAAAATAGGCATACAAGTAGTGATATAGGCCTTATTTCGGCCATTTTGAATGAAATTGCGTCCAAAAACCATTCAGATGCTCTTTTAATGTGATTTCAAGCCTTAGCTGCCTCTAACTAGGTATTAGTGACATGTTAAGAGGAAGAATGAGGTAATTTGATTAAAAATATAGAAAATAGGCATACAAGTAGTGATATAGGCCTTATTTCGGCCATTTTGAATGAAATTGCGTCCAAAAACCATTTAGATGCTCTGTTAATGTGATTTCAAGCCTTAGCTACCTCTAACTAGGTAATTATGACATGTTAAGAGGAAGAATGAGGTAATTTGATTAAAAATATAGAAAATAGGCATACAAGTAGTGATATAGGCCTTATTTCAGCCATTTTGAATGAAATTGCGTCAAAAAACCATTCAGATGTTCTTTTAATGTGATTTCAAGCCTTAGCTGCCTCTAACTAGGTAATAATGACATGTTAAGAGGAAGAATGAGGTAATTTGATTAAAAATATAGAAAATAGGCATACAAGTAGTGATATAGGCCTTATTTCGGCCATTTTGAATGAAATTGCGTCCAAAAACCATTCAAATGCTCTTTTAATGTGATTTCAAGCCTTAGCTGCCTCTAACTAGGTAAGAATGACATGTTAAGGGAAAGAATGAGCTAATTTGATTAAAAATATGGAAAATAGGCATACAAGTAGTGATCATATAGGCCTATGTATTAAATTTTTGCCTAACTTAAATTGTAAATGTATTTTTACATACATAACTTAAGTAATTAATTCTAGCTAACATCATTTTTGTTTAACCAAGTTTTTCAAGGTACAGAAAGCAGGTCCATTGACAAGCAAAGAGCTGAATGAAGTTCGAGACATGTTAGCGTCTTTCATCACATATAATTTAATTTGAACTTGTTAACTTATACATTAATTATTAGTATAGTTTGTAAATATAACACCTTTTAATGAATGAGTTGTAAAAGCTATATGACATTTCATTGTATCGCATTTACGGTTATTAATTAATATTTATGTATTGTTGTTATTATTCCAATTCAATGTAAAAGTATTATATTATTAGTATTTTTAATAATAATAATAATAATATAATAATAATAATAATAATATAATAATAATATTATTATTATTATTATTATTGTTATTATAATATATATTAATGGCAGAATTAATACAGGATGTGCAGGTATTTAATTATTTTTAATTATTAATTTTTTTTTTTTTAAAAAAAACCAGGTTTTTCCCACCGGTTTACACATTAAACCGGTGGCCAAAACAATTTTCAAAACTGGCGGGCTAACTTTTCCCACCGGTTCAATGTGTAAACCGCTGCGAAAAGTCACGGTTTTGCCACCGGTTCACCCCAAAACTGGTGGGAAAAGTGCTCGCATAAATCAGAAGCTTTTGCCACCGGTTCACTCCAAAACCGGTGGGAAAAATTGTTTTTGCCACCGGTTTTGAACCGGTGGGAAATATTTTGGGATTTCGCACCCCCCAAATCAAAACCGGTGGGGAATGTATGGTTTGAACCGGTGGGGATTGGGGTTTTTCGCCTAGTGCTTGTTCATGCTAACGTGATTGCAGTTTTTACGCTTTCGATTATTATTGCTTTTTCCTTAGTTTTAATTTAATTGTTTTCTTTAATCTCATATTCTTGTTTTTATTATGTTTAATTTAATCGCTTTGATTTGTTTAGTTTTAATTATGTACGAGTAGTTTCATCTCGGGTTTTGGGGATCCATGAATAATATGAAGGGGTAATTTATTCTTATTGATTATTAATGATTAATTAATTTCCTATTGATTGATTTAATGCTATGCAATTAAATTTGGCCAGGTTTAATTGTATGAGTTATGCAATATTGATTCGAGATTCGAGAGATGAGAATTGATGTTTAGGCTTAGTTTCAATAGGCATGTTAATCTATAAATGGTTAAGTCAAGATTCGAGAGATGCGATTTAATACCGGTAGATTAATTATGTGATTATAATACGTAGCGAAAGCCCTTTATAATCTGATTAATTTATGCATTGATGATTGATTGTTATGTTTTACCCTGGAATATTATTTATTGGTGAACCTATACCCTAGGCCTGTTATTATTGATTATTCCCTTATTTAATTTGCTTAGTTTAATTGTTAGTTTAATAGAAAAAAAAGAGTTCAAAGATTGTTTTTTCACTCTATTTCCTTCTTGTTATATTTTATGAGTGAAGTTGTAAGTGTTGGGAATTTTTAATATAATTGGATGTTTGGTGAATTTTTGGTAGAGTTTAGTTGTGTTGGAGATGATTGGTCATTATTTATTTTTGACCTTGGTTTTTTTTTTTTTTTTTTAGGATTGGCTCCCTAAAGCATGGCTTTACTCTCACATTTTCCCAAATTTATCCTACCTTTTACCCTAACCTTACGTTACAAGCTTTAAAGACCTTTCGACCTTTGTGCATAGAGTTGTATGGATGTGAAATTAGTTGCTTATCAATGCAAAGAATGATTTGATATATTTCGAGTCGACTACTAGGTTGAGTGTATGTCTTTTAAACACACGAGTATTGTGAGTTTGGGAGGGCATTGTTCACATTAAAGGGGTTGGATGGAGAGCGACCGAGTACATATTTTACTCGCCACATAAAAGAGTGAAGAGTGCGCGAGCACTAGTCTTGAATTCCATATACACTTGTGGTTTGCTCTATTTGACAATTGTTAGGGAGGATGAGTAGTTGGATGGATTTGATTGGTTGATTTTGATGCATATTTGTTAGATTTTCCTTGAATTGGTTATGCTTGGTTTTATTTGACTTTTGGGGCGAAGTATGTTTCAGTTGTTCATTGATGAGCTCTTTACTTTGGGACAAGCAAAGGTTTGGCTTGGGGGAGTTTGATATGTTCATTTTACATAGAGATTTACCCCCGTCCCTTGGTCATATTTAGGAGTAGTATTGGCTCTTTGGAGCCACTTTTATTACTAATATGCGTTTTCTAGTGTTTTCGTAGTCTTGGTATTGTCTTATAGGAAATTGCAGATTTGAAGCATTTTCCCGGAGTTATTTGAGCCACTAC